GGGGGGGGGGGAGGAAATTGCTGCTGCTGCTGCTGCTGGTGCTGCTGTGAGGAAGAGGAAGCGCAGCTCTTGGGCTGGGGGAGGGAGCCAGGCTCTGCCCTGCCTCCAGGTGCCCCCAGGAGCAAGGGCTGCCCCCGCTCGCCTTGGCGCGTGTGGGTGGCTTGTGTCGGCCAGCCCGCGGGCTCCTCTGCCGCTCCTGCCTTCATCTGCCGCCCCCGCCGGCCTGCGGGAGCAGCTGTGCGGGGAGCCCCGCCGCCGCGGCACATCTGGCCAGCTATGTTTTGTCCCCCCCCCCCCCCCCCCCCGGGGGGGGGGGGGGGGGGGGGTGGGGGGGGCCTTTTTTTTTTTTTCTTGAAATGGGGGAGGATGAGCGGGGCGGAGAGGTGGAAAGGATGAGAGCAGCAACCTGCGGGGCGGGGGTTGGTTTGCCCCGCCGCGTTTCTTAACGCGGGGCAGCGCCTCTGGACCGCCCGGGGGGGGGAGGGGGGCTGTGCCTGCCGCCAACTTCTCTTCAGCAGCCGCCGGGCTGGGACCTGCCTCGGCCGCACGGGCCGCTTCCAGCTAGAGAGCAGCCGGCTGCAAAGTTAGCGCACGTTTCGGAGGGCTGCCGCGGTAGCTGGCCGGACCTTTTTGTGGCCGGCGGGGTCGGCTGCAGGAAGAGCTGGGCTCCAGGCGCTGGCCTAAGTCAGCCAGCTCGTTGCACCAGACCTGGGAGGTGTAGAGGGGGCCTCGTGCTGAAGGCGGCAGGGAGGGTGCCTGCTCCGATCAAATGGATGTGCTCCACAGTGGGTGGTAATTAGGCCGAGCCACGATGCCTGAGCCCTTAATCTTAGCAGGAATAATAGAGTCTGACTCTACCTGTCTGTCTACCTGCCTGCCTGTGTGTCGATCAATCGATCTATCTGTCTGTCTGTCCACCTGCCTGTCTATGGATCGATCTATCTACCTGCCTGTCTGTCTGACTATACGTACTTATCTGCTTGCCTGCCTATCTACCTGCCTGCCTGCATATATGTCTGTCTGTCCGTCTACCCGTCTACATACCTGTCTGTCTGTCAGTCGGTCAATTAATTTATCGAGCTACCTGCCTGTATGTGTATGTATATCTCTATATGTGTGTGTATCTAGCTCTCTACCTACCTGCCTATACATGTGTATATATATCTATATATATGATATGCACACTTGTGTGTATCTCTCTCTCTATTGATAGACACACACGCACACTTTGTGAGGGCTGCTTCCATTAAAAATCTCATCTTGAACATCTTTTTCCTTGCAGAACTAATGCGACTGTCTGCCCCCTGAGAATGGCATAAACAACATTTTAGAAGTTCCTGATAAAACAACTGTGAGTACCCTTGGGAAGAAATCATTTTACCATCAATTATATAAGCATTCCTCGCAACTTACCAGGGCTAGGAAGGTAAAACAAAAAACCCGGGCTAGAGAGCTGGTGATAACAGTCATGCCAAACATTTGCAAGGTGGTAATTTCTGTAGGATAAACAATATTGTAAGGTATGTTTCATGCTGCAGCATTTATGCTGCAGATACACTTCAAAATATCTTTTTAATGCATTTGTAAGCAGATGATTTCCCCCCCCTTTGGTTGAACTTGCTCTGCAAAAATTGTCCCTTATTAGCATGCTTATCATAAAGAAAATATGGAGTGTATTAAATACTTTACTTTCAACTTACTTGATATAGGACCAACTTGATATGGGTCAGGGAGTTGGATTACACATTTTGTCGTCCCCCTGCCTGTCATCAACAGTAACGTGAAACCGTGCTGATTCTAGATATTACAGATCATTGGCTATTCATGCCAATTCCTTTCTTTGCATCGTATACCTGGCAGGTTAAGCTACCTATGCTGAATTCTTCACAATGAAGATAAATACCTGCTATTATCTGCCACATGAAGCTCAAAGCAAAATTAATCCTAAATTGAATTTTTCTAAGGATCATGAGTATTCTTTTTTCCTTTACCTTCCCTCAACTATCCAGTTCTATGAATGAAAAAAATATTAAATTCTAGAGGTAGTACTAACCCAGTAATCTGACTGAGTAATAATCGGGTGCGAAGGAGAAAGAGAAGTAGTGGCAATTTGTAAGCATCCCTGTGGTATAGTGTTAAGGAAGCACGTATGACAGCGCACAATTTATGGTGCGATTAAATTGTCTTGCAGCAAGTTTTAAAATCCAGTAGAGTTGGCTGGGTAAAACTAAAGATTAACATCATGTTGCTGCATTAACCATATTAAGCAAACAGGTTTTGCTGGCGAGTGCTGCAGTGAGTATGCTCTTTGATTGTTTGGTATGACTTAAGTAGTGTTGAGGCATACCTAATGATTAGTTTATCTGTGCAGTGAGACTGCATTTAAATGGGCTAATCTTTTTTCTTTCAATAATTCTGAGAATTGTAGTGCTGTATTGCAAATCTGCCTTCTCTGTAGGTTGCAGTTTAGGTACGAGTGTAGCTGTCGGAGTTTCTTTTTTAAGAAGAAAAATCAAGGCTTTCTACAACTAGTTTATTTGTTCAAGCATTATAATGCAAAAAATCATGATATCAATAAAATTGAAGTGGATTTTGATGAGTTTCTGGGTGGACTGATTTATATTAGAGCCTTTTAATTTTATCATTGAAACTACCTGCATTTTTGCAGTGTAATTTTATACTTCATTACGCAGAGAGACCAGGCAGTAGATTGACACAAAGGAAAACAAATATTTCCATTGTCATCTACTTGATTCTGTTTTCTTACCATTAAGTGATGTATACTGTCTTCATGGGATTGATAGAGGTGACTTATTTTGGTTCTCTTCCCTCCCCTTATTATCAACTTGTAATTTATTTTGGGCTTAACTGTTAGAGAATAAGTAACTAGTCCTAGAGGTATAACTGTTGCTGAAACAGGGCTACATACATGTCACTTCCTTACAATCATACCCATCTGTGCACACTGCAGTATTGTTGCACTCCACCCTTCCTTCCGCTCTTTGTTTACTCTACCCATTAGAAATCTGCTTGGTTTTTTTTTCTTCAAAGCTTTGAGCTCACACATTTTCTTTGCTGTAATGTCCCAGTCTATTTAGAAGTGTTAGGATATGATATAATGTTTTCAATGCTGAGACACAAACAGCAATGGCTTCATGTTTAAATGTGATAACATGGATGGGTTTATTTTTAAAGGTGAATTTAGTGTACATGAAAGTGAGAGGTTGATAATTCAGCTAATAGCTAGAAGTAGTAAGTTTTCCCCCACAGCTATGCTGATGTACCTACATGCTGACATGCAGCACCTCCCTCTGTTAAATAGGTTGCCAATCATAGTACTAACCTCTTTTCTGGTTCTATGATTTTGGATAAGGCTCTGCTTGTGCCTAATGTCCTCAACAAATACTAATTATTCTCTCCAGCTGCGACACTGTCATCACTTGATTTCAGGGCTCTAGAAGTAAATTGTATGTAATAGTTTAGGAACCTTTTTTTTGCTTTTCTCAGGATTGTGTGCATGCTGTATCTTTTTATACATATATTGCCTATCAAAGGCAATGGAGTTTTAAGAATCCAGGAGACTGAACTATATGGCTCATCTGCAAAACAAGCAGTAGCAATGTAGCCTTTTCCAGTCTGTCCTGCTGGTTTACTTTGGCCCTCTTCTTGGGGGAGCACACCTGCTGAGGAGAGAGGAATTTAAGGATGTGTGTCTATTTTATGTTTCTCCAGTTTTAATACGATATAGTTACAGGCTTTGTGGTCCAGACACCTGTACACTGGAAATTAACTGAAGCTTACTAATTTGTTTTATGAAAGCCAACAAGCCATCATCTGGTAAAAGTGACTTTTATGTGCTCTGTATCTTTAAAGATTTCTCTGCCATGAATGAGTGTCTGAAAAAGGTTCTTGTATTCGTGGCAAAAGAGGAACATGTCAAATACACATTGTTAAACCTTTGTCAGTTTAAACAGAGCAACTGTTTAAATGTTTTTGGATAATTTTTCCTCACTTTGAGAGAGTAAGTCAGTTTTTAAATTTTTTTGTTTCCATATACGAAGCGCAGAAATCAACAGGAGCTGGCAGAAAAAATATAGTCACAGTTAAAAGAAAAACTATATTCATCTCGTGTCAGGTTTGCACTGAACAGGCAAGTGAAAGAAAATTCATGGTTTGGGCTCTGAATTTGTCATTTTCAGCTTGCTGTATTAAATCTATAGCAAAGGTCCTATTGCAAGTGATCTTTCATATTACACATTTTGCAAAACAAAAAGGGTTAATTATAGATAGCTTTTAATTCCCTTGTTTGTTTTTTAATATAAATTAAGGGCAGAATTAATGAAACTCTGAGGCCTGAGAATTTATAATCATCTTTTTTTGGTTCATATCTTGCTTAATTTGACAGAAATACTTTCATTTTTCTTATGGTTTTCTGTGGTTCCCAGCAATATAATGCTAGCTGGTAAGCCACTGATTTACCAAACTATGATCTGTGGATCACCATTTAGGCTAAGTACAGATAGTCAAAAAGCCCTAGACTGAATCAATTCAATCTTTGCAGGTTGGTCTAAGCAAGTGTTTCCCAACCTTTTCCAGCCCAAGGCACACTTACATTGATAAAAATTTTCCGCAGTCCACCTGTTAAGGTATTCCTCATCCTCATACCTATTGTAGCTCGTTGTCATGGCAAAATTCCACGGCATACCTGTTCAATGTTGACGGCCCATTTTGGTGCTGTGGCACACTGGTTGGGAAACACTGGTCTAAGCTGTGTAGATTGAACCAATAAGCAAATGAACAGACATTCACTTTTGATTCTGGAAATGCAGCCACATGCCTGCAGTGGTTCAGGCCAGAAGCCGGGGGTAGGGGTGGCAGGGTACTAGCACACACCTCCCTGCTCAGCTGGAGCAGACAGCTTTGGGCAAGGCTAGCCTGCCCAACCTGCGTGGGTGAAGGGTGTTTGCGGGGGAGGTAGAAAGCATCCTGGGAAGTTGAGGGACTGTGAGTTAACTTGAATCTGGTGGGGATCTGGGACAAAAGTTCAATAAACCAATTTCTCCTAAATCAGTTAAGCTGATACTACATCCATCCAGGTTCATCTTAAACCAATTTCAGCCATTTTGAAAGCAATTTGTATGCACTGACCTTCTGATGCATTGCAGATTTGAACCAGTTTCTGATCACTTATACCAGGTTATGTGTAACTTTTGTCCCTAGGCTTACTGTAAGCACTTGCTAGAAGGACACGGAGTACAGGCATCTTCTTGCTTGCAGTTGCCTTTCTCCCCTAATGGGCAGCCTGCTCTGTTCTGTTAACAATGTATAACATTAATGCCCGCTTTGGAGTTGTTAGTACTTTAGGACAGGGGTCAGTAGCCTATGAAGGCTGCAGGCCAGATTGACTCAGTTAGGATTAGGTGAGGGATGGGGTCTAGGACCCAACTGCTGCTGCCACTTTTCCCTGCAGCAGCACAGGGAGAGGGCCTGCAGCGGATGTCTTTTCTCTGTGGAGGCAAGGGTAAGTGACTGCTGCTGAAGTCCCCCTGCCACTGTGAACTTCCAAAGTTCCATGTCCACAGACCAGATCAAATGGCCTTGAAGGCTAGATCTGGCCCCTGGGCTGTAGGTTGCTGATCCCTGGTTTAGTAGAAAGGCTAAAGGGATTGAACAGACATTCCAAAATGATGATAGTCAAGAATCGGGCAGAGGTGACTCCTGCAAAATAAGTTTGTGATGCGGTGGCATCTCTAACTGAATACCTCTTACACCATTTCTCTTTTCTTTTTCCTCCTTGTTCCTTTAGATCTGCAAGTAAATTGGGAGTTTGTCACTTCCTTCTTTGGATCTCTCCATTCATTGCCATACTTACTTCTCTATCCCCTGGAACTTCTTATTTTGGGTTACTATGGCAGTCTGTGTTGCCCTTTTGAGTTTTTTAATAGACCTTGGTTTGGCTAAAAGGAAATTTGTGTGTCTGGCACATGTGTGAGGATTTTAGAATCTTCACTGCCGTTCTGAGGCATTCAATTCTCTTTCTTTTTCAAGTAAGCAAGAAAAGACTAAATTATTACTGGAGGGAGATGGATGCATCTTCTTTGGAGAGAAGGGTCATAAAGTAGGCATAATAATCACCTCTCTTAACTGGCAAGAGTGAGGTCCATAATTCATTGACCAAAAAGCATTACAAATGGCCACAACAGTGAAACCTACAGTCTAAAAAGAAATCTGGGCAGCTTGCAAATGTGGAGAACCCCCCTCAACCCCCCCAAAACGGAGCTTTACTTTAAACTCATCATGCTCCAGCACTGAGCTCGGCACATGTCCAGAAGAAGCAGCACATTAGTTGCA